CAATTGCCCAGAATACGCACGACGGTGAAAATGATGGGATCAACTTGTGAGTGATCTTCGAAATGTTAAAGGCTCAACAGGCGGCGATAACCCAGTTGCAGAACCAAAGCTGAGCACCGAGCAGGGCTGAGCCCGAGCCATCCCGGGAAGTCACTTGTAGAAATGAACTGATCACAGAGAGGCCGAATGAAAATGAATCAGGGACTAACCCCGAGATCATAAAAATGCTCGAGGAATTGACAAAACGGAAAGAATCGGGAGAGAAGAAGCCAATGACAAAAAGGTAGAAACCTATAATTCCAGGATCAACCAAATTCCAGGAGCACCCCCGATATTGAAGGGCTTGGATTCCAAGAAGTTTGTTGAAAAATCTTTTCCTCCGAGCGCAGTGCCGAAGCCGATCCTGAAAAAGTTTCGCATGCCCGAAATTCCTAAGTACAACGGAATGACCGACTCAAATGAGCATGTGACCTCCTATACATGCACTATCAAGAAAAACGAATTGGAAAATGACGAGATCAAATCTGTCGTGTTGAAAAAATTCAGGGAAACTCTATCCAAGGGAGCTATGATATGGTATCACAACCTACCTCCTAATTCTATTGACTAGTTTGCTATGCTTGCAGATTCATTCGTAAAAACGCACACCGGGGCTATCAAGGTCGAGACCAGGAAGTCAGACCTCTTCAAAGTGAAGTAGAGGGATAATGAGACGCTCAAGGAATTCGTGTCCCGATTTCAAATGGAACAAATAGATTTGCCTTCGGGCGCGGACGATTGGGCCGTTCAATCCTTCACCGGGGACTCGATGCTCGAAGCTCGTTGGCTTCATAGCAGTTGAAGCAAAATCTGGTAGAGTACCCGGCTATCACCTGGTCTGACGTGCATAATCGGTATCAATCAAAAATTAGGGTCGAAGATGATCAACTCGGGGCCCCTTCCGGGTCCGTTTATCCCGTTAGATCAGTTGACAGAGTCAGGAGAGACATTGATCGTGAGCCAAAGTCGAACAGGGATCGGTATCATCTATACAATGGAGACCGAAGAGGTGGCGGATCTGGGCGAAACCCCGTGAAAACAACCGGGGACTCATGAGCAAAAATAGTTTTGACAGGACCATCAGCCCGAAAGAAGCGCCAAGACTATCGGAGTACAACTTTAACGTCGATGCCGCAACCATCATATTCGCCATTAGACGTATCAGAGACACCAAATGGCCTCGACCTTTACAGTTTGATCCAACCCAAATGGACCCTAATCTAATATGCAAATATCATGGCACTCACAGTCACAGGACAGAAGATTAACAATAATTGAGAGAGGAAGTAGCCCGGCTATTCAATAACGGGATCTCCGAGAGTTCCTAAGCGACCGAGCCAAGAACCACTTTAGGACCAGAGATTCTGGTAAACACATCGAACAGGAGGAACCTCAACACATCATCAACATGATCATTGGTGGGGTCGATATTCCCTAGGGGTCGATGCTGATGTGCACCAAAGTATCCATCACGAGAGAAAAACGAACTCAGGATTACGTGACAAAGGGAACCTTGTCCTTCAACGACGAAGACGCTGAGGGGATCGCGCAGTCCCACAATGATGCACTGGTAATATCAGTACTTATAAATAAATCTCAAGTTAAATGTGTGTTAATTATTCCAGGTAGCTCGGCCAACATCATCAAATCGAGGGTCGTGGAATAGCTCAGCCTACAAGATCAGATCGTGTCCACGGTCCGAGTCCTAAACGGGTTCCACATGGCATGTGAGACCACTAAAGGGGAGATAACATTACCAGTAAACACTGCCAGGACCGTTCAGGAAACAAAGTTCTATTTGATCGAAGGGGACATGAAGTACAATGCTTTGTTCGGAAAACCATGGATTCACAACATGAGGGCGGTACCCTCGACTCTGCACCAGGTGTTGAAGTTCCCGACGCCGAGAGGAATAAAAACAATTTACGGAGAACAACCGACCGTAAAAGAGATGTTCGCGGTCGACGAAGTGGTCCCGATATCTATACTTTCGACACCAAAAGAGCTGGGTCCGGTCCCCAATGGAGAAACCAAATACCAATTACTGACACCGACTTCGTCCCAACTGGAGAAGCAGGAGATGGGTGAGGACGATGACTACGGGGTTCCCAGGTCTTTCATAGCTCCCGATGATTATGACGCTACCAAATCAATGGTCAAGGAACTGGAGCAAGTCATACTGATCGAAAACTTGCCCGATTGAAAGGTATACCTGGGCATGGGGTTGAATCCCGAGCTCAGGAAAAAAACTTGTTCAATTTCTTATAGCTAATGAACAATGTTTCTCTTGGTCCCACCTTGATATGACAGGGATCCCGCCGGAAATAACCACTCAGAGGCTAAGTCTGGACCCAAAGTTCCACCCGATCAAGCAGAAGAGGAGACCCAGTCCGAGGTCAAACATGCTTTCATCAAGGATGAGGTATCTAAACTCCTTAAAATAGGATCCATTCGGGAGGTTAAATACCCAGACTGGTTAACAAACGTAGTAGTAGTCCCAAAAAGGGGGAACAAATTAAGAATGTGTGTGGACTATCAAGACTTGAATAAAGCGTGTCCCAAGGACTCTTTCCCTTTGCCTAACATCGATCACATAATCGATGTAACGGCCGGCCACGAGATCCTCTGTTTTCTCGATGCTTATTCCGGGTACAACCAAATTCTGATGGACCTAGGTGATGAGGAAAAAACTTCCTTCATCACAAAGTACGACACCTACTGTACTAACGTGATGCCGTTTGGACTAAAAAATGCCGGTGCCACTTACCAACGCCTAGTAAATCGAATGTTCAAAGAACAAATAGTAAAATCAATGGAGGTTTACATTGACCATATGTTGGTTAAGTCCCTGCGAGCAGAGGACCATTTGAAACATTTGCAGGAAACCTTCAACATATTAAAGAAATTCAATATGAAGCTAAACCCGGAGAAATATGCATTCGGAGTCGGGTCCGGTAAATTCCTTGGATTCATGATATCCAACCAGGGAATCGAGATCAATACCGATAAAATCAAGGCCATAGGAGATATCACTGTTGTGGACAATGTGAAGGTCATACAAAGGTTAACCAGACGCATAGCCGCCCTGTGACGATTTATTTCAAGGTCATCCGACAAGAGTCACCGGTTCTTTTCACTGTTGAAGAAAAAGAATAACTTCTCATAGACCCCGGAGTGCCAACGAGCCTTGGAGGAGCTCAAGCGATATCGATCGAGCCCACCGCTGCTTCACATGCCGAAGATAGATGAATAGTTGTACCTATACTTGGCAGTATAGGAGATAGCGGTAAGTGGAGTCTTGGTCCGGAAAGAGAAAGGTACGCAATTTCCAATTTACTATGTTAGTAGGACTCTAGGCGAGGCCGAAACTAGATACCCTGACCTAGAAAAGTTGGCGCTCGCTTTGCTAAGCGCCTCTAGGAAGCTAAAACTGTACTTCCATTGTCACCCCATATGTGTCGTAACAAATTACCCATTAAGGAATGTAATGCATAAACCCAAGCTCTCGGGACGGTTGGCCAAATGGGCCGTAGAGAACAGTGGGTACGATATCGAATAGCGGCCTCGGACCGCCATCAAGTCTAAAATTTTGGCAGACTTTGTGGCTGACTTTACGCCGGCCCTAATACTCGAGGTTGAAAGAGATTTGTTGTTAAACTCGAGGACTTTTTCAAGAATCTGGACCCTCTTTAAGGACGGTGCCTTGAACGCAAAAGGGTACAGACTCGGCATTGTATTGAAGATACCAACAGGTAATGTAATTAGACAATCTATTAGGACTATAAAATTAACTAACAATAAAGCCGAGTATCAGGCCATGATTGCAGGTCTCGAACAGTCCAAAAGCTTAGGGTCAGAGGTGATCGAAGCCAAGTGCGACTCCCTCCTTGTGGTGAACCAAGTTAATGGGACGTTCGAAGTTAGAGAGGAATAAATGCAAAGATACCTGGATAAACTATAGGTAACGTTACATCGGTTCAAGGAGTGGACTCTACAACATGTTCCTCAAGATCAAAACAGTGAAGCCGATGCCCTTTCTAACTTGGGATCGTCGGTCGATGATGATGAGTTCAACTCGGGGGAGGTCGTACAACTCATGAGATCGGTAGTGAAAAAAGGTCACGCCGAGATAAACTCAACAAGCCTAACTTGGGACTTAAGAAACAAATACATAGAGTATCTGAAGACTGGAAAACTGCCCTCAGACCCTAAGGAATCGAGAACTCTGCATACAAAGGCGGCCCGGTTCAGGCTATCCGAAGACGATACACTGTTTCAGAGAACATTCAATGGTCCACTCACAATATGTCTAGGACCAAGAGACACCGAGTATGTTCTGAGGGGAATCCATGAAGTCACCTGTGGAAATCATTTGGGTGCCAAACCATTAGTTCAGAAAATAATCAGAGCTGATTACTATTAGATCGACATGGAAAAGGATGCGAAAGAGTTCGTACGAAAATTCGACGGATGTCAAAAGCATGCTCGGATGATTCATCAGCCCGGGGAGCTACTACATTCGGTTTTGCCATCTTGGCCGTTCATGAAATGGGGGATGGACATCGTCGGTCCCCTCCCATGGGCACCCGGTAAAGCTCAATTTATATTATTTATGACTGACTATTTTTCTAAATGGGTGGAAGCCCAGGTGTATGAGAAAGTCAGGGAGAAGGAAGTCATCGATTTCATTTGGGACCATATAATATACCGGTTCGGGATGCCGGCCGAGATCGTGTGTGACAATAGGAAATAGTTCATCGGCAGCAAACTAAGCAAGTTCCTCGAAGACCATAAGATCAAAAGGATCCTATCAACACCCTATCACCCAAGTGGGAACGGGCAAGCGGAGTCCACCAACCATACTCCACAACCTCAAAAAGAGGTTGACTGATGCCAAAGAAAGATGGAAAGAAATCTTTGATCATATTCGGTGCCTGGTGACCGAGGAAGACCAAGCCAAAATGAACGAGGTAGACACGTCCTGCCTGTTCAACGAAGCACAACAGGCGCTTAACTGGGTAACTTTAGACAACTCTCGATGATTTCAATTTCTCATTTTATACTTGAATTAATTCATTGATAATCCTAATATTTTTTTTCGTACTTGTAGGCCTCGGTACTTCACCATGAAACATTCCTCTAGTACCGGGATGAGCTAAACCAGCTCGAAGCCGAAGTCAGAGAGCTTATTGAGAAGAGAGACACGTACAAACTTCTTAGTGAGTCGCATGAAGGAGAAGATAAGAACCTTCGAGCTGAGTTGGAAGCTGCTCGGAAAGAACATGCCGACCTGGTTGAACAGGTAAAACTTTTAGAGGTTAGTGAGTATGAGCTAGACACGGTGTCTAATGGTCGGAACCCGCAGGTTTAACAGAATATTAATCAGATCGACCAACTCCGAGCTGATATGGATGCAGTCGAGGCCGAAGAGTGGAGAGGCAGGACGGACTGCCTGGCCTTGGAAAAACAAACTGCCCGGGCGTTGTCGACCTCGGCAGAGGTCCAGCTTCGAGCGACAAGGGAGAAGGCTGAGGCACGATCCCAAAAGATCGAGGAGCTCCAGTCTCAGCTAAGCTCGATTGTTTCTGATCGAGACACCCTTGCCAAGGAGCTTATGGCAGCTAAGTCGGTGGTTGAAGTAACCAAAGCTGATGCCGACGAGATGGTGGCCCAGTATAAGGCCGATGCCGAGGAAACCCAGGACCAACTGAAAGATATCACTGAATACGTGAGATGGCAATCCCAAAGGGAGGCCCTCGAAGAAATTCATGCTCGGGGTTTTGATTTATCGTCCGAGTTCAAAAGTGCTATGGGGTTCGAAGCCAAGACCAAGAAACTGGCGTATCCCGAGGATAAAGAAGACTCCTAAGGTTCGGATGGATCCGGAGGCAGAGAAGACTCTGATGGTGCCGGTGATGAGGCAGGCTCTGGTGGAGACCAGGCCGTTTAAGTGCCTTGTATATTTTTCTTTGTTTTTTGTACTTTTTTACTTTTTTGTCAAGGCTATTTGGCCTTTGTGAAGATCTTTCATATATATATATATATATATATATATATATATATATATATAAGGCTCGTTTTTCCCTTCAACAGTTTTTAAGCTTGTTTCCTTTTGCTTTGTTCTTTATGATTGCAAAGATATCGAAATGCCTTAGCATGTAATATTTAGTTCTTGCCCGGAGGTTCGAACAAGCCTTTTTTTCAATATTATTTTGTTTACGATTCGTGGGGGTTCGATATGACCGGAAACTTTTCCTAAAATACTTAGAACGCTTAAGATTATATTTGCCGAGGGTAGCCTTTTGAGCCGGTTTTAGAAATTTTAAAGTCCTTGTTTTTTGTTACGGGTCTCAGACGACTCCGAGCTGTTTTAATATGGCCGTAGCCTTTGTAGTTTGGGTGCTGCCCAGTGGGTTTGTTACCCCGAGTCATCCGGGTTTAACCGAGATACCGTTCCTGAATGTGGTCGGTCGTAGCCTTTAAAGTTCGGGTACTGTAAAATAAGCTTTGTGCTCCCAAGCTTCATTATCCCGGACTATCCGAATCTACCTTGGGCGACAGTCCCCGAGTGAGGTGGCCCTTGGAATCGATGACTTTAGGGGATCAAATTTAAGAAAGAAAAATTTTCACTGTGCAAAATATTTATCCGCAAGGTAGAAACTTCCTTTCAATTTTGTGCGTAATAGACAAAGTTATATGTCACGACCCAAACCGATAGGCCGTGACGAGTGCCCGGGTTCTACCTATCAAGCACCCCTAAGCATTCGTCTAAGATATAAACATGAAATGAGTGTAGGTCATGCATAACATTTGGAAATAAACTACTAATTCATATGAACAACCTACGTGAGAAAACATGCCCATATATATATATATATATATACGGAATACGGTAGGGCGAGCCGACAAGGCCACATACTATATAACTATACATGACTTTTTACAGACCTCTATTAGAGTGTACAACTGTATAAAGGGCGGAACTGGGCCCCATCGTACCCATATATGTGTGCAAATGCATTGTACCAAAACTCAAAGCAGCTCCAGATCAAATGGAGCATACCAACTCTCGCTGATCAAGGATCCTAAGAAGGGGGACCGTCAGCATGTCTACCTACACCTGCGGGTATGAAACGCAGGGTCCCCAGGCAAAAAGGGACGTAAGTACGAATAATGTACTGAGTATGTAAAGCATGAAAATCAGTACATGAAAGACATAGATGAAACATGGGGTAAAGAATTCCACCTGTGAGTCTAAATAACTTTGTGAATCCTGAAACATTTATAATGTCATGCACGTACGTGTAAATGTCGTATCATGCATAGGTATAGGTGTACATAACATCATCAAGCCTATGAGGGCATCCCATCATATCATCTCGGCCACTGTGGGCAAAATCATCAACATATACCAGCTGATGAGGTGGTGGTGAGTATATAACACTATAACCTTTTCTCATATCCCATATACATATAATATATGCGTATATAACGCCTTCTGGTCATGGGTCAATGTACATGTATAAATGCATGAAATGCATAAGAAATACGTTAATAAGATTTCTCGAATATCATAAAATTAATATGCCTTTCGGACAATCTTTATCAAATACATATTTTTTTAGGATCCATGAATAGAGGATATAATAATAATTCACATAGGGAATTAAGAATATAGACACCCCTAGTATTTCTATGAATAGAGTCATTTATGAAAGTTGCGTATTTTGCTCGTTTTGTTTATATCATTTGGATCATGCCAAAATAAAAGAAGGGATAGCCTTAACATATCTCAAGTCGTCAATGCAACTCAACAACAAGCTTATGACAACTAGCGCGCCAACCCTATAACAAAGAAATACGTGTACAATTTAGATGGCGGTAGTATATTACGTATCTCACACGATAACTCGATTCTAAAATAAAACGGGCAGCATTTCCCCTGATTTGACTGCTCCCTCAAGCCTACTATAGGCGAGATACAAACATAATACAATCAGAAACTCAAAACCAACATAATTACAATTCAGGACCTTCAATACAACAAAACCCCCAAATATACCATAATACACCCAATCAACAAGTTATCAATTAGCCTGTAACTACAACGATGCGTGACCAACCTACTACCCTATCACATGTGGCGTTTCTCCACGCACTTTTATCCTTCCAAACTCCATAAATCAGAAGCACAATATACAACCCCAAAGCAACACGAAACAGCCCACAAAACAGTCCAATATAAGTCAAATAACTCGAACTCACGGCTTCCGATCACCGTCCCGTGAGGTCTAACTATTAGGAAACGAATTTGTCAATTTTTTTTTATATTTTAAAGCTTAAATAAAGAAATTAGAAATTTTTATTAACTATTAAATACATTCCAAAACTCAAACTACAAAGAAAAAGAGAGGCGATATAGCGATACTTACGTCGTAGGGATCGTTTTAATGTTATTGCTTCTTGATTTCGTGTCCGAGATGATAGTCTTGTTTGAAGCACTATTAGAGAGCTCAAGGATCATTTTTATGGTGTTCTCTGGTCAGATGCTATGTAAAAATGAAGAGAGAGAGAGAGAGAGAGACGAGTTAAAAAACTATATATCAACTTTTGAAAAGTCAAAAGGTGCTAGCTTGGCATACTCTGATTTGCCCATCTTCCGACGCTTATATCTTTTTATCCGGATATCATATGAACAAATGGTTAAGAAACATTCCAAAACCTTAAATTTGGTATATAATATGTCCCCAAAATACCTCATATAGCATACAAAATTTATTTCTCAAAAAGCTCTGTTACAGGGCAAATCCTTAGTTGGTTTTTTCGAAGATTTTAATCCGATTTTTTTCAAACTTTATATGTTTTATCCAAACATCATATATAGTCATATTATGACTTTAAACTCATTTAAATCATGATTAACAAGTCTCATATTCATTATACGTCACCTTGGAACGTATAGGGTGTAACAATCTTCCCCCCTTAGAAACATTCGTCCTCGAATGTTAAACTCCCAGATATTTATAGAAATTTTTGGCAGAGTCTCCTCTGTAATGGTGCCACTATCAACCTATCATATAGAAAACCCAACAATACAAAGCCACACAGGTCCACAATCAACAATAACACCAGTGGTCTCACACGACCAATGCCATTAACTAACATAAGAATCAAGTACTATATACGTACATAAGGCTGTGATGTCTCAGTCCGATCCTCCTCCAAAAGCGGAAACAAGTGAGGATACCTAGACTTCATGTCTTCTTTAGCTTCCCAAGTCATCTCCTTAATATTATTGTTCCTCCAAAGTACTTTAACTAAAGCTACGTCCTTAGTTCTCAATCTCCGAACTTGTCTATCTAGTGTAGCAATGGGAGCTTCCTCATATGATAGTTGCTCTGTGACCTGAACATCGTCAACTGGAACGAGTCTAGAAGGATCTCCAATACACTTGCGGAGCATAGACACGTGAAAAACTGGATGTACTGACTCCAAGTTGGAAGGCAAGTCTAACTCATATGCTACATGGCCTACTCGGCGTATAATCTTATAAGGTTTAATGTACCGAGGGCTAATCTTTCCTTTCTTACCGAATCTCATAACGCCTTTCATCAGTGATACCTTTAGGAATACTCAGTTATCTATCTGAAACTCCAAGTCTCGTCATCGATTATCTGCATATGACTTCTAGCGACTCTGAGCTGCTAATAGCCTTTCCCATATAAGCTTAATCTTCTCAACTGCATGTTGTACCAACTCTGGTCCTACTAACTTAGTTTCCCCAACTTCGAACCATCTGATAGGTTACCTACACTTTCGTCCATAAAGAGCTTCGTATGGAGCCATCTAAATGCTGGAATGATAACTATTATTATATACGAACTCAATAAGTGGAATATGATCATCCCAGCTACCCCTGAAGTCTATCACACAAGCCCGTAGCATATCTTCCAGTGTCTGAACAGTACGCTCAGCCTGACCGTTTGTCTAGGGATGAAATATTGTACTAAGACTCACCTGAGTCCCCAATCCTTTTTGGAAGGACCTCCAAAAATTAGCTTGTAAACTGAGCACCTCTATCTGAGATAATAGATATAGGGACACCGTGAAGTCGTACTATCTCCTTAATGTAAATCATTACATAATCCTCTGCTGAATACGTAGTCCTGACAGGCAAAAAATGGGCTGATTTTGTAAGTCTATCAATAATAACCCATATAGAATCGAACTTACGCTGGGTATGAGGTAAGCCTATGATGAAATCCATGTTAATCACTTCCCATTTCCAAGTCGGAATCTCTATGGCCTGCAATAATCCATCGGGTTTCTGATGCTCAATCTTAACCTGCTGACAATTAGGGCACTGAGCAACAAACTCTGCTATATCCTTCTTCATTCCGTCCCACCAGTATATTCTCATGATATCATGATACATCTTCATTGCTCCTGGATAAATAAAATAACGAGAATAGTGAGCTTCTCCCATAACCTGCTGACGCAACCCTGCTACATTAGGAACACATAATCGACCTCGATATCTGAGGACTCCATCTCATGTAATCTCCAATGGTGTCTTCTCCTTTTGAGGGGTTGTATCTCTGTAGTGAGCTAGTACAGGATCTTCATACTGGCGTTCCTTCACTTCAGTTACTAGAGAGGATGTTGTCGTGTCCTGAATAGTAACTCTGGTACCACCTGAATCTAATAATCGAACTCCAAGATTATCAAGATGATGAATCTCATAAGCTATCTCACTCTTCTCTGGCTGTAAATATGATAAGCTACCCATACATCTACGACTGAGGGCGTCGGCTACTACATTTGCCTTTCCTGGATGGTATAAAATATCAACACCATAGTCTTTTAGTA